CTTTTCGGCTCTCTGTAATAAAGAAGCCACTCAAGTTTCCCCCTTCTAAAATACAAATTTTATCTTTGTTCACAGAAAAAAAATATCCCATAAGACACTTGGGGCAAACGGGGATCAGGCCAGTTTCATTCTGAGAATACATAATGGACATATTCTGCTAGTGAAAAATAAAAACCTCTCAGGTTCAAGTCAGAATGATTAAAAATAACTAGTGAAAGTAATGGTTTCTGTTGTTTGAAACCAGATGTTTGTCTCCATCAAGGTTGAGGGACACTTCAAAAGCCTGAAAAGATGTCATGCTAACATTAAAAATAAACTGACATCAGTGAAACTGATGTAACTGTAGTGTCAGTTATTATAAGATTGCAGGCATCTACATCATAACAGACAAATTTTCTCAAGTCTGGCTTCAACCTTTCAAAAGAACGGAAAGGGCTGAAATTTGAGCGTGTGTCTCGTATCTCTGGTGTTTAAAACAACCTATGAGACGTTGCCATTAATGCGGTCACCATCATCTTCCCCTTCTTCATGCTCACCCTCTTCCTCCTCTCCCTCCTCTTCTTCATTCTCTCCTCCCTGGCTTTTAACCTGAGAAGAACAAATAAAAGGCTTGTTTATATATCTGTACAGTATCCAGCACCAATTACAACACAACCTCTATCATTTTGCACATGGATTTTTTTACACATACCTCTTCCTCCTCCTCCTCCTCCTCCTCTTCCAACAAATCTCTCTCCTCCTCAGAATCATTTATCTCTTGCTCTTCCCGCTCTCTGTCTTTCTTGCTGGAATGCTGAAGGGAGGAAGCCTCACCCACTTCTGCCTTCACACTTTTCCCCTCTGAGGGAAAAAAACACGCATAAACAATAAATATAACAATTGGTAATAATAATTATATATTTGTCTTGAACTATAACTTTAAGCACCACATCAGCATATTAGAATGGTTTCTGAAGGATCATGTGAAAGATCACTGAAAGTAAGCCCTATTGAAAAGTCAGTTTTTTTTTTTTAAGTTTTAAAAATAAGTTTTGGCAAAATGGTGTTTTAAATAATTTACAGGGCTTTCAGTCGATTAAAATTTATCATCTAATTAATTACGTGTTGATTAATTAATCTAATTGTGAAAATACCCTCAAAAGATTATTTAAAGCTATTTTTTGTGTTAAATGAGAAAGTATTAAGTACACATTACAAATAGTAACTTTAGAAAGAAATATTTTATTTGATTCAACATCAAATGTAACGATTAGGCTACAACGGCCCAACATGAACTGTGGAACATAAAAGAAGATAATTTGAGAAACATCTCAAATGTTTCTTTTTTTTTTTTCTTTCAAACAAAAATGTAATTTAATATTTTATTGAAATCTTCCTGTAGAATTATTCAGAAACAAGGTAATATAAAAAAAGACAGGTAAATACAAACATGGATGTTTCCTGGAAGCTTCTCGGCTCTCTGTAATAGAGGAGCCACTCAAGTTTCCCCCTTTTAAAATTCAAATTTTATCTATGTTCACAGAAAAAAAAAAAAATCCCATCAAGACACACAGGGCAAACAGGGATCAGGCCAGTTTCACTCGGAGAATACATAATGGACATATTCTGCTAGTGAAAAATAAAAACCTCTCAGGTTCAAGTCAGAATGATTAAAAATAACTAGTGAAAGTAATGGTTTCTGTTGTTTGAAACCAGATGTTTGTCTCCATCAAGGTTGAGGGACACTTCAAAAGCCTGAAAAGATGTCATGCTAACATTAAAAATAAACTGACGTCAGTGAAACTGATGTAACTGTAGTGTCAGTTATTATAGGAGTGCAGGCATCTACATCATAAGACAAATCTTTCAAAGACTGGCTTCAACCTTTCTAAAGAACAGAAAGGGCTGAATTTTGAGTGCGTGTCGCGTATCCGTGGTGTTTAAAACAAGCTATGAGTCGTCGCCATTAATGCTGTCACCATCATCTTCCCCTTCTTCATGCTCACCCTCTTCCTCCTCTCCCTCTTCTTCTTCATTCTCTCCTCCCTGGCTTTTAACCTGAGAAAGACAAAACAAAGCTTGTTAGTGTATCTGTGCAGTATCCAGCACCAATTACAACACAACTTCCATCATTTTGCACATGGCCGTTTTTTTTTTTTTGTTTTTTTTTTTTTACACATACCTCTTCCTCCTCCTCTTCCAACAAATCTCTCTCCTCCTCAGAATCATTTATCTCTTGCTCTTCCCGCTCTCTGTCTTTCTTGCTGGAATGCTGAAGGGAGGAAGCCTCACCCACTTCTGCCTTCACACTTTTCCCCTCTGAGGGAAAAAAACACGCATAAACAATAAATATAACAATTGGTAATAATAATTATATATTTGTCTTGAACTATAACTTTAAGCACCACATCAGCATATTAGAATGGTTTCTGAAGGATCATGTGAAAGATCACTGAAAGTAAGCCCTATTGAAAAGTCAGTTTTTTTTTTTTAAGTTTTAAAAATAAGTTTTGGCAAAATGGTGTTTTAAATAATTTACAGGGCTTTCAGTCGATTAAAATTTATCATCTAATTAATTACGTGTTGATTAATTAATCTAATTGTGAAAATACCCTCAAAAGATTATTTAAAGCTATTTTTTGTGTTAAATGAGAAAGTATTAAGTACACATTACAAATAGTAGCTTTAGAAAGAAATATTTTATTTGATTCAACAAATTTATTACACGTTCAGGCTATAAAGGCCTAAAATAAACTATGGAACATAGAAGATAATTTGAGAAACATCTATTTTTTTTTTCGTTCATGCAATGGAAGTCATTGGTAACCAAAACAGATTTGTTACCAACAGACTTAAAAATACCTTATGAGTCATTCATTCATTCAAGCGGCTGATTCATTCAGGAATTCAGTAAATGGCTCACTTTATGAATGGGCTTTTGAATCAGTAGGTACGTTTACATGGACACTTTTTGCTTCCATCGGAATGAATTCATTCTGATTAATGAATCCGAACGTAGTGTTTACATGAACGTTAAATAAAGTGATCGGGTTGATATGCGCGTATGTCACAAGCTTCTAATCGGATTTAATCTTTTGACATGCGCACACTGCATGAATATACAGTTTCCCGCTGTTGTCACATACGGTTTTAAAAAGCACATGTGATATTTATCTACTTCGGGTCCTAATTAGGCGACGACCAGCACATGAACTTTTGTGCAGTGCTGCTTACTTTATAAAGCAGTAAAAGTGCCCCTTTCTGCACCCAAAACCAGTTGTCTGTTGATGAGAGTCTTAAACAAGGACTGGTGGGACATTGTGCTGCTCCACTTCACAGACGCTGAGTGAAAGGGGAGTTTTATAGTGACTAGACACTCATTTATGTCACTTTATTCACCAGGAAGAACAGTGTCATACGTCATTACACTATTTCTACGTCACTGCACATGCGCAGTACTTTCCAGTTTCGGTTTTCAATCCGATCAAGTGTTTACATGTCCTCTCGCTTGGATTACAAAACGAATAAACCACCCCTTACAATCCGATCGAAATTTTAGTCGGATCTGGCCAATTCAATCCGATTGACGTGGTTACATGTGACTTTTTTTTTATTCTGATTCTAGTCCCATTACAATCAGATTAGTAGGGTCCATGTAAACGCAGCTATTGGTTCACCTGAGTCGTTTAAAACGCGGATTCATTCAGAATCACTGCTGTGTTGCTCACAGACGCACAATAGTTCTGCTGTGGCTTTATAGCTAATATTTTTGTTGCCAAACTGAGCAAAAACAGACAATATTGTGTTTAAAATATATGACACAATATTAAATTATTTACTGAACTTTTGCGTAAAATCACATTTGGGACAAATGTCACTTGTCATATGATATAATTTAAATATGAGACAAAAACTCATACAGGAGCATTTTTGCCCAAATATCTTGAATTATAGGGCATAACTGCATTTATGGAGTTGTTGCCCTGCATCATATCAAAGTCCCTTTCTATAGTTTTTGACCATATTTGTCAACTGTATGAAATGTAAGATGACGTACAGGCCTGTGGGCGGGGCCAGTGCATTAACTGCGTTAAAATATTTTAATCGCGTTATTTTTTCATAACTAATTAAGTTAACATGTTAAACTGACAGCCCTAATCATTTACAACATTTTTTGGAATACTGATGGTCTGGGCCCATTTTGACATTTTCTGGTGACCCTTCTACAAAATCTTTGGGGGAAATCATGAAGAATGTTACCAGATTTCTTGTTGTGGTTTTTCTCCATCCTGTCCAGATTCTGCAGAAGATAGTCAACCTTGTGTTTGATTTGAGCAAGCTCTCTCTTAATAGTTTGAAGGTCATCTGCTTTCACTGAAAAAAACAAAAACAAAACCTGAATGCATGTAAAAACTGACAAGCCAACTAAGGTCAAAAATGTAAAATGAGAAAAGACAGACAAATGACAAGCAGACAAAAATCAATCAATGTTTATTTTTAATGCATTTGTCACTGACAAATTAACATGAACCCCTATAGTGAGGGAGAATAATTAAAAAAAGGCACTGACAGGTTCGAGAAGACATCCGTTGGCTGCTCTTGGATGAAGTGGAAAAGCTGGACTTGGCGCGGCGGCTGGTTCCCCCACTCACACTGACCCGCGGACGTTTGGAAGGGATCACAGCCCGTGAGAGAGGTGGTGGTGGTGGTGGAGCGGGCACACGGGAAGGGTATGAATACATTCTGCACAACACAAAGCAGATTGAAAAGTCAGCACACATTTATAAATCCACACTGGCACAGTGTTTGTGCAGATCTTACCTGTCATAGTAATCTCTCTGGAAATCATAATCAAGCTCGAAAGTAGAACTACTGCTGGAAAGAATTAAGAAGATGATTAGAGATTTTGGCAACAAAACAATTGCTAATTTAAATAAAACAATAAAATGGGTGAAAATACATAAGAAGAAATGTTTTCCTTACCTGTACATATCTCCGGCCGATCGCTTTGTTGTATTTGACCTGTGAGGTTTGGGCTCTCCTGCCAAATTAATATCTGATGGAAAGACAAGGTGATTGCTCAATTAAGAGGGAAAATATTAAGATAGCCTATGATTCTTTTTAATGTCCTCACCAAGCACTTGTCCAACAAACATCCGGCCGTCCTCTCCTGCTACAGCCGCTCGTGCGTTCCTCTCGTTGGCGAACTGGACGAAGGCGTAGCCCTTGTGCACAGAGCAGCCAACAATCTTGCCGTATTTGCTAAAAATGGCTTCAACATCTGCCTTGGTAACCAGCATAGTGTTCAAGTTCCCGATGAAGACTCTTGAATTCAGGGACCGTGGGTCTGTCTTATTTGTGACATTGCCGGCCATCAGCTGACTAGTGCTGGGAGAACGACTAGGGCAGGAATAAGAAGGAAGAAACATTAGTATATTTCCAAAGGGAAGGCAATACTATTCCTAAATCACTTATATTCAGAAATCACACTCAATATTTGACATGGAAAGAAAGTGTTGATGACTGTGACTCACTCCATGGCGTCGGTACAGCGCAGTTGTCTGTTTGTCAATGTGAGCAGGCCGAAGTGTAGATTGATCTCAGCCAAAACGACAATACCAGCACTCAACCAGTGAGCAGCACCTCCAACAGCCTCCTGTGGTGGTAAAATTGGCTTAAAATTGAGATAACAATTAGACACAACATTAAAATTGGACATGGTTAGTTTGGTTTTAATCAATGCACTTCTGTTTTCAAATAGATGTGCACCAACAACTCATTGGATGCTACAAACGCTGAATTGCTGGCAATATGCAGCTGCTTTCCAGTCTTAGGATACAGTACATTCTATCAATGGAATTCAAAGGAAGAATTTTACAATTTTAATCTCAGATATCTTAAAGTGAAATGTTTATAAAAAAAAGCCCAAAATACAAACATATACTTAAAGACTACTATTAGTATACAGGGTGGTCTTGTACTGTGCGTTAATTTAAAAAAAGAAAGGAAATGATTGGAAAACATTTGGCTTCATTGTTCAAAAAACGAATACAACAGACTACAGATATGATACAATATCGGCAAATCTTTAACTTTGACCTAAAAATCCCCAGCGCGACCAGAGATGCAGTGCTGTTTGGGTTTCTGTGCTTGTGGTCGCGATATCACAACGAACAATACAATAAAACGTGAATGTTCGTATTTATCCCGCCGCAACAACGGGGTTTGGTTTCTTTTCATAGAAATAATTGATGCAAGGCATCGCGACTCAACAAAACCAAACACACGTGCAGAGATCCGTGAAATGTGAAAATCCTCGTAGTAGACAAAGAGGACAGACCGCACTGCATAGAGCGCTGCTCGGCCTAAACACTCAAGAGGGCGGCGGTATAACGGATCTTTCCGTAAATGCACGAAAAATAAGCAATGGTCATTGCTGAAAAAAAAAGAATACAAAACCTACTCACCGAATATTTAAAATGCGTTATTTGAGAAGCATCAATATTCTTACACTGCCTGCCAAGTAATAGAAGTAGTCAATCTGCGACGACATAAAAGCTGTCCACACATTTTTCAAGTTAAAAGTCATCAGTTTTATTTTTGTAATACCCCCCCCCCCATTCTTGAAATGAAAAAAAAAGACTATATTAAGTTTAATGTTTTAACGAGTGATTTTAAGCCGCCGTTGTGCCAACTGACTAGTGAGTAAAGGCTTGTATTTTGAAAGAATCAAGACTTTTCGAGACGCATCGCGCGCCTTTCACACATACAGGCGTTCATAAATTGGATCAATGACATTTAAATTGGTGGTCATGGGAAGTGTTTATGTTTCGGTTTTTTATTTTACATTTTTATTTTTGGGTATGTAGCCTACTATGACTGTCAATGGTATTATAACGATATATATTACTATCATATGGACAATAATTTGTTGCCAGAGGAGGATGGGCTCCCCAGTTGTCTTGTTTTTCTCAAGATTTTTCTCTGTAATACCTAAACATCGTATACAGGTTTTTATACAGGTTTTGGCTTGGTCACTGGGGAATTAAGAGATTTTGAAGTCTCTAAAATGATTTCTTGTAAAGCTGAATGATTATATCACTGGGACGTACATTTCTGTGAAGTTGCATTAAAACTATGTATTATGAAAAGCATATGACCTAAACATGATATGACTTAAACATCAGTGAACAGTACATTAGTCCCGTGAACCTTTTTCGTATAACATTTTCCTCTTTGTACTCCTCGAAACTATGGACATAAAAAGCAACACACTATGAATTTTCCTGAAAATCAAATGGGCCAGGAGAATTTAAACAACTTATTATGCAAATTACTAGAATTCATTATTTAATTATAATAGTCTTTTATAAGATTGATATGCATGCAAAAAAATCTCAGATACAGGTGCATCTCAATAAATTAGAATGTCGTGGAAAAGTTCATTTCAGTAATTCAACTCACATTTCACAATTTGAGTTGAATTATTGAAATAAATGAACTTTTCCATGACATTCTAATTTGAGATGCACCTGTATTGCAAGTAAGATTTGCAGCCGGTCTTGTATTTTCTTTTTTCCTTTACATTTTATTTTCAAAAAAATACTGCTCCACAAACGTTAAAGTTAAATTCTTGAACTGTTCAAAAGCAAGAAAATTTCTTTCTGTAGTTTAATTTAATTTTTATGCTCTTAGAAGAACTTCATTCCAAATAATAGCATTGACTAGTATAAGCTTAATAATACCAGAGAAAACAGCACTAGTGTAATAGTATTCACAATTTACAAGCAAGTCAGCTACATTAGTTAACATAAGCAATTAACACTTCTACAGCATTTATTAGTAAATAAATGTTGATTTAAATACCTTTTGAATCAAAAGTTCTCTTAACATTAGAAACTGTAATCTAACATCAATGAACATTTTGTATTTTATTAACGAACATAAATTCTATAAAATACTTTGTTCATTGTGATTGTGTAGCTAATGCATTAACTGATGTTAAAGTTAATGTGTCCTTATTATAAAGTCTTTTTTTTAGATTTTGATCACATGGTTTTATGCTAAATAATTAAATGTCATGACTGTACATGATATGTCCCCTAATAGGCAATTTTGGATTGTTTGTGGAAAACATATATAATAGAAATAAATTGTGTAATTTATTTTCTGTCTTAACCACAGGTTGCACAAATAGTGAAAGAGAATACAAGTATCTGTTACCATCCATACAACTAATTAAATAGCACTAATTAATACATAAACTATGATTACATAATGATTGGCCTTAAGTAGGTTACACAGAAAATTAATTCCTCCTGTATTTATAGTAAATAAAGGCACTTGGTCAGAAACAAAAGAACAGATTTTTCTCTCTTTTTTTACTGCACAATCCGTACATGTTGTCTGAACTGAACTGAAAGAACACAATATTGCAGCGTGGGTTAACTCAGATCAAAAAAAAAAATACATGCCAGTGATAGGACATTTTGAGCAGACAAGTGAGAATGAGAAAATGAACATTAACAGAGACTAATGCTTTTAATTTCAGTGACAATTAGGGTTGTAATCCAACAAAAAGAAAGAAAGAAAGAAAAAAAATATATCAAATGTTTCCATTGATTTAAAAGTATTTTGTCTCATACAATATAAACCTCTGCGTCAAATACCAATTAAATTTAGACACCCTTTGAAAGAGTAAGTGTTGAAGATTTTTACAGGTTTTTAATATTTATATATATATATATATATATATATATATCTTTATATATTTGTATATACATATAGTCATTTAAGTTATTATTCTCATACAAAAAGAGAAAAGTTGATACTTCATTCCCCTCACAGAAGAAGGAAAAAAGGGGCCAAGTAATTCAAGCTCCTTACCCCTCCCTGCGTACCCCACAAGTGCTATCCCTCCCCTGCCATTGACCCATCCTTCTGAAATTAATCATTCCTTTCCACATGCAAGTCTCAACAGGCCACAGTCCGTCCATGTTTGCTCTTAACCAGCTGAATCCAAATACTGACAAAGAACAGACACCATTTTTATGAAAAATGGGTTGTGAGGGCTTAGCCTTTCTCTGGCAAACACAGGACATCCTGCTACATTTGATCCTCGCCATATAGTTAGGCAAAGATCTTGAGGATGCGTATTCAAACAAAAGACAAAGGAAGAAACATGTATTCAACAAATCACTGGCTCGGAGCACATCATCGTCTTTGCTCTCAATTTTTACGAGATAGGGCTGAGAAGACGACTGTAGTCCGTGGAGAGTTACATTTTCAGCCATTAGGAATTTCTACAAGAACTCCATCCAGTATCTCCACCCAAGTGCAAATCCCAAAACCAAAGAGCTGGTGTCAAATCTCTATTCAATTTAAAAGTCCACAGTAAATTTGGGGAATTGCAGGGCAAAAAAAAACACTAAATTAGCAAAATTAACACATTTAATACAAGTATTGCATGCCCCCTAAGCGCACACTCGTCTTAGAGGTTCAAAACTCAAAGCAGATCCCTGATTAAAGTGCACTCCGTAGCATGGGAGAGAGAGAACGGAGCAAAGCAGCCAGCTCTGGAACCAGATTAAGTAGCTCTGGCTCATCTTGTGTCTTCAGTCAGATCTAAGAGAGCATGATTGACCTCAAGAAAATTTGCTGTGCCTGGCTTCAGCAAACACACACACACACACACAGGAGAAGAGATCAAAGACAAGACAGGATTGGACAGCCAGACAGCTCATGACAGTCTATCACTGCGATGAACAAAGATTGCAATCCAAAAATAACAAACGTCAGCTCAGTCTTACATAGAGACGTAAGCAGTTCAGATCACTGGAGAAAACTGATGAGGCCAGTAAAAGATGGTGCTGGTTTTTAGAACAAGTAACACTCATCCTCTCAGTAATCTGCATAAGGACCGGCTTTGAGTGTCCGTACTGTCCTGTCATGCTGCGGACACATCGCTGTGAAAGAAAAGCTTCAAGTGGGACTGTTTACTACAGCACAGATGAGAAATTTCCTCTTCTGCGCCTCACGACTGCTGCAGCAAAATGCTGCTTCTAAAATTCGTGGTTGTTGATAAAACAGTAGAGGTGATATTTCTCGATCACCGGCTGTATTCTTCCTTGTGATACGCTGTAAAACTGGGAATGAAATGCGCCAGTGTCCAAGTTCATGTAAAATCAGAGTGGTTAACTGCATGTGTGGTTGCAAATATATCAAAAATACGAATCTCAGTATCAGTTCTTCCCCTAGTGATGTAATTTGTGTGTGTGGAGCATAAAGCCAGATTTCAGTCGTTTCCCTCTCCCTTACACTGTGTGTATGTATATATAAAGCTGTGTGTGTGTTTGTTGCTGGCCTTTCAGTGTCTATTTGTGTACCAGTGGGTTACTAGTATGTATGTGCTTAAATATATGGCAAAGAGCATGTGTGTGTGTGTGTGTGTGGGTGTGTGGTTCAGGAGGACATGCACTGCACATGGTCTGGCCCTCCTTCTTCATCGGAGGAATCTGGCGAGCTCCAAGATTCGTCTGTGTCGCCCTCTCCTCCCTCCCCTCGCCGGGCCTACAAGGGGCAAATCATTGAGAAGCTATCAGTGTATAGTTTTTTTAATGGCTATGAAGAGATCAGATCATGTAGGATGAGGTTAGGTTCTTTTCTGACAGTTAAACCGATAGTTTGAAGAAGCATTGCAAGGATATTCTATTTATAGTTTGAAAACGCATCAATAGTAGGTTAAGTGTAGGAGGGAACAAAAACGCTACCATTTGAGTGATTTCAATTTTAGATAGCAGCATGTTGCTTTGCACAAAGTAGAAAGCACTGTATCTTTAATACATAGAAATGGACTGGACTATATATTGGTAATGAAAATGATCCTAGAAATGCAAGTTCTCACCCGCTGAGGTCTACGGTTTCTCATGTGTCTCATTAGGAACCAGAGGAGCTGTGTGTCATACTGGTCACCATGACGAACACTGTCTTCATCCCGTTCTCGCTTGTTCTTCTTCATTACCTAAATAGCCATGATAAAATATAAAACATTTGTTTTATTGCTTTTACCAAAAATATTTATTCACCTGTTTAAGTTTGCACTCAAAGTTTGTACACAATTTTTTGGGTTTTTGAAAGATATTTCTTCCAACCAAGGCTACATTAATTAACCAAAAATGCAGTAAAAATGTAATACTGTGAAATAGTATTACAATTTAAAATAACAGTTTCCTAATTTATTTATATGTGATGGCAAAGCTGAATTTTCAGTTTTCAGTGTCACATGATCCGTCAGAAATCTTATATGCTGATATGATACTCTGGTATCTTTTTATTATCAATATTTTTGAGGAAACCATGATACTTTTTCCAGGATTCTTTCAATAAAAGGTCAAAAGAACAGCATTTATTTGAAATGGAAATCTTTTGTAAACATGTAAAAGTATTTAATGCTACTTTCAATCAATTTAATGCATCCTTACTGAATAAAAAGTATTAATTTATTTTTAATTAAATTAAAATATATAAATAAATAAATGTGTGTGTGTGTGTGTGTGTATATATATATATATATATATATATATATATATATTT